TGCCTGGTTCTGTGGCTTCTGGTTTTCAGCTGCTCGTCTGTGATAAGACCAGCGCAGCTGAAGCTGCTTAGCTGAATGGTAGAAGTGATGAAACAACTTAGCTCAAGATGTGAAGATCAGACACACATGAAAAGAGAAGCTCCAGATGAAAGCAAAAACTTAACTGCAAAGCATTAGTGCTTACGGGGAGGAGGGGGGGGAGAAAAAGACCCCACAGCACATGGGGAAAGAGCACTCCCAAGCCTGTCAGCTTTTCTTCACTACATCTGACATAAAGCTATCTGCTTTATTTACATACACGTAAATCCTTCCAAGCAGGATTTTGCAGAACACAAACTTCAACGTTCTTGCAAGTTCCATTATACCTGCAAACTCCCTCAAACTTCCAAAGGCACAAGGAGAGCATCCTAATGGGGATCCAAATTTATTTGGTGTCTAAGACCAGATTTAGTGATCTCAAATTTCCAGCACATTAACTCCTCCTGACATTTGGAACTCCAGCTCATTTTTTCCACCTCATCCTTCATGAACTGCAAATGCCCTTTATCAGACCTTTTCTCGTGGTACATGAAGCAGAAAAGGCTTGTGCATTTTCCTAGACTGACAGCAAATATTCTTTTTTTCCATCACTGAAAGATGGAAACAACACAGCGACAGTTGAAAAACAAGGAACTTGCTATTCTACACTCAGTCCGGGGTAAATGTAGCACAATGAGCACAGACATGAATTTGCCATAAATTACCTTTGTGTCTGTAAGTATACTTCGGGAGTAAACTAACAGTCAGGCTTCCCAAGTTCCACCTTTTCCACTGACTTTGAACAGCACGCATTTTACCTCTCTCTGCCTACCTTTAAATAGGTATATTTTTCAGTTAAGGGAAAAGGCAAAACTTAAGATTTGTGAACAGTGCTATGATACAATTTCAGCTCAAACAACTCCAGCACAGCAACTCAGTCCTGTTTCAGGGTAGCTAACCCCTGAGATCTCAGCAGTCCCAAATCCCTTATTCTAGTCACAACACTACACGGTGCTGTTCCTCAGCTGAGAACAGGCAGCAATTTTCCGTTCACGATTTCAAACTTCTGTTAAAGATGCCTGTCAATTCTGATCTCAGTTGTACCATTCATTACTTCTTCCAGCAATTTCACACAGTCCTATCAACAGCAAGATTGCCAGGAGAGACACACAGGCAGATGGAAACCTCTGAAGCAGAAAGGCACCACCAAGGAAATGAAAGCGGGAGGCTCTGATAAGCAGCGTTATGGAGCAATGACAGCTGGTGAAACACTGAGCAATATGTAAGTGGTTTGCTTTAATAAAGTCCACTGCAGATATAGCATAAGCCAACAAAACAGATGCAAAAAAAAAAATTAAATAAATTTAATCTTATTAATGGTGTAGGCTGTTTCAACAGTAATGGAAAAATACTATAAATCCCTTTTTTAAGTCTTCCAGTACATCAGAGGTCTTCACTCACCTCTCTTCATGTTAGCAGTGACCAATAACTGAGAGTTAATGCAAAAGGAGCTCTACCAGAAATTTATCAACATCATAGAAGAGTTTTTTTTAAAAAAAGAAAAAGTTAAACTGAAACGTCATTTATGAAACACTGTGAAAAAGCTCCTCAGTGGTTTCACACAGGACAACTTTTGGTGTATGGTTAAAAGCAAAAGCAGCTGCAAAATGAAGTCCCATATGACTAGCTTTATGGCATGACATTCATTAAGAGCTAGCTTTCCAGCTTGTTGATCTGATTTTAATTTGAGATAGATTTAAGGAAATTAATCTTTGAAAGGCGACTACTGTTATAAATGCCATAAGAAAATCAGTTATGTGATGCTAGCAAGGATCTGCATTTGCCAAATTACATTCATCTGAGTTAGGAAAAGAGAATGTCATTTTTGTTCTGCTGCCTTTCTCTCCACCTCCTCATTCCCTCACTCGCTTTCAGCATAAGCAACAAAATTTTTCCTCCCATCCCTCTCTCCGAATTATTAACCTTCTTCTATAGACCTGCTGGAAAAAGTAAGCTTTTATTCAGATGTAAAAATCAAAATGAGAGTCAGCAATACCACTGCGAAAGCATCGAAAACCCAAGTGAATACTGTAACAAAACCAAAACAGATGCTAATCTCAATTTGCTTCTAGTCCAGCATATGTGTAATGCTCAGCAATTTAAAAAAAGGTGTGAATTTACTTGACTTTATACAAAATATTCCATATACATCTCATATTTTCAGCTTTGTTTGTGCCAGCAAATTACAGACACTGGCACAAAAATCAATTATAAGCAGCTTGAAGTGTCACAGTTATAATCAAATCACACTTAATTCATGTTTGTAATTAGCTTCAACTAGAGCAACACCTGCACACAGGAATGTTTCAATATGGTGTGGGCAGGTGGGAACTCATTTAGACAAATATATTCTGTCGTAAGTTGTGTTGAGCGTTGTTCATTATGAACCAGGCAGTGTGCAATCAGGGCCTGCAAAACAAAAAGCATCAAGGTGTAGTTTTCAACGGCCACATTTTGGCTGTACGTTTTTGAACAGACATTCCGTGTTTGCTAGTGATTTTAGTTTTTAGGAGGCAAAGCTCTTTAAGCAGTCACGGAATTGGCTCTGAGGATGACCAGACAACAGGAGGTAAAGTTACTTCAAACTGAAAATTCCACAATGTTTGGTTTTGATGTTGGAGCCTCTGTTGTAGCTGCTTGACATGGAAGAGAAGGGAAATGAGAATCCATGAGTTTGAATGGCCAACATAAAATCTTTTGGGCCTAGTTTTCAGAAGTCCCATAAACTAACCTCTTCCTTTTAGAATAAAAGAGAGTTATAAGAGATTAGCATCTCTGAAGAATCAGATCTAAATCATCTCAAAAAAGAGACCCTTGGGAGGCTTTGGGGAGAGGGGACGACAACACAAATACAAATCCAAGAAATTAAGTTTTAAAGTTTTGACTTGTCACATATAGTTTGAAAACCACACACCAAAATCTCCACTCCAGGGTGAAACCTGTTTCCACACCCGTAGAACTAAATATAGAGATGAAATATATAACTAAGATAAAAAGAAAAGTCAAACTTCCACAAGGAATAATCTCCATGCAATGAACCACAGCACCACAGCCTGCAAAAGTCACTTACTTTTCTCCGAGAGTCACCCGGAGGCTGCTCTGGAGTAAAGAAATTAATTGTTCACCATGTTGTGTTCAACAGATACCCATTAAAAATATAGTTGGAAAACTGAGTAAATAATCCTGCATGATACTTTTTGATACCAAATATATACTAATTTTTTTTTAGACAAAGACATTTAATTTACACATAAGGTTGCAGCACTAGAAATAATCAAATTGTGCTACAAGTATGGGAATTAAAGAGATTCAAATAGTTCATACATTCAACATAAATGTAAGGTGACAATTTCTTTTATTATACCTCTAAACACATTCAAAAATTACATATCTTCTTCACTTACGTACAGAAGAAACTATCTAAAATTTATTTAAATTAGTGAAAATTCTTCCACTCCACCTAGAAGCTCAAGATCTAGACATCTTTCCTATGCTTTGGTTGCTTTCCATGTCACTGATGGGGAATTCTGCATCCTAGTGGGCGATTTTGCTCGTTACGCACAAGGCAGAACAGAAACCAAGCAGCTCTCCTGCAGGTACATTGGGGAGCTATCATCAGAGTTTCAAAATCCATTTTTACTTGGAAAATTCTAATTAACCTTCCCAAACCCCAAATCTGGAAAAAAGATTCCTATGAAATTACATAGGAAAAAAGTGGTCATGCTAAGAAATACAGAATGCAGAGTGTGAAAACAGTACTGCTATCAACATGAAATTCATTTCCAAATAACTTGCTAGATCTTGGACACTTCCATATTAATTTTATGTGGTCAGCCTGCTTGAATAACCGGATCTGGTGCTACAACCAGATTTCTTCATCTCTTTTACTGGTAAGATACATATTTACAACCAAATTAACAGACCTTTGGGCTAAAATAAAACATTTCTAACAATGTCACATAACAAGAGCAAAACTTACCTCCAAAGAGTTCGAACTCTCTTAAGCCTTCGACAATGAACTTTTCAGACACCCACCGCTGAAAGAAAAAAATTCCCCAGATAATTAGTTATTCCATCTAAAGACAAGTTTCTTTTCCCCCTCCCCCATAAAAAACATAACAGAATCGTAACACTTCAAGGACTCTACTGTGGTCTGAAACTGATTAGCTGTAACATCAGAGTTACATCCTTCCTTTGGACAAGGATATTTTCTTCTTGTGCTACTAGGACAGCAGGCACCCAGCAACCACACAGCTGCTATTGCTTTTCCTGACCAGCATGCACTTGCAATAAAGTTAACATAATTTTAGATCATTCCAACAAGAACCTTTATACATGCACATATAGCAAAAAGAAGCAGCATGCTACAACTCCCTTCCATAGACAAATAAAAGGTGTTTGCTTGGCTGCAATAGGTGTAAAAAAAGCTTCAACTATTTACAATTAGGTGACATCTTACAGAATTTAAATATTTTGGCTACATATCTATTATTAAAGTTCTTCCAGAAATCATGCTTAAAATTCAGAGCAAGCATTACGTTGTGCAGAGAAATGTTTCTACCACTATATTCAACTCTGTGATTCAAAGAAAAATATATATAAACGCACATGTAACACACCATAGAATATGCAATTTTTGGCTTGCAGAGTGTTGATCATAAAGTTACCATTAAACAAACAATCACTAACACTCCCACACTAGAATTTGTCTACTTGGTAAAATAACTGAAAAAATAGCTTATGTTGTTTAGTGCAAGGGAAGCCGGTCCTAGAAAGCACCAATGAGTCTTTAGGTGATGATGACTCAAAGCTCATATATACAATACCATTTTCGGGCATTAAAAGCGGTTTTCTCATATGAAACTTCCTCACTTAAAAACGCAGAATTAAACAAAGCTGTTGTGTTTAGCTTTGCAAGGTAAGTTTAGGAAAAACAAAAAAAAACCCCAGAAACTGTCAGCGGTGCGACACAGGTGAGGCACGAACTTCTTAAAGAAAGGTAGGAAATAATCAGCATTACCGCACTTTTTCTTAATTGCGACACTCATGACAAACCCCTTGCACCGCACACCGAGGAGATAGTGGCGTGCAAGCAATAAACACTTCAGCGCAGGGTTTTGTGTCTGTATTTTTTTTTTAACTAGCACCTAGCTAATAGAAGTACTTTAATTCCCAGAGTGGTACTACGGCATGGGCACCCTGCCCCGTAATTAGCAGGTAGCTGGGAGGTGGCGGGGGGGTGCTTTGCAGGAGGCCGGCCCCGCCGCAGCTCCTCTGCACAAGCGCAAGGCAGGCTCCCCCGACGCGCCGGCGGCTGAGGGAAGCTGGAAGGTGTTCAACACTCACCCTAATCCGTTCGGGTTTACTTACAAGAAAAGACATGGAATCCGCCTTTGCGTTACCACACGCAGCCCGTGAAAGGACGGCCGACCTGCAGGCACAACACCGGGTCACCCCCTCCCGC